ATCAAGAAACAGATAAATAATGTAGACAATCATTAGCTGAAGCACTATTCATTTCTGTGTGTGGATATCCAAAGGAGATAGAGGTCAATGAAATGTGAAATTAACATTATGCAAACAGCAGATAGATGATGCAACCACACACGCACAAGAAAAAAGAAAAAGGAAATGATGAACAAAAGTGCATTATGAGTATTAACTCCTACGAGGATGGTGGGCTGCTTGTTCAGTGCAGTTGGAGCAATGATACAAGAATCTGCTGAGATGCAACAGGTTGAGGATTATTAAATTAACCATCTCCCTTCGAATGTTTTCTTCCTACACACTGATACAGTATATGTATATGAATTAGTATAACATATTTCGTGTTTTCACTAATCTATGAATTTACTCTACAGCAGTTGTGCAATTCTACACAATCTGAACTTGAAACTGAGGGTTTAATGCAGTTCATCAGCACCCTGTTTAATCATCGCAACGCCACGGCAATGTCACATTTGAACTTTCTGAAACATTCATGGGTTGCAAATTAGGACTTACCACAATCAACAATGGGAACTACAGTAACACTGCACAATAGAGGAGACCTTTTTTTCTCATATGTATCTTGTCCTCTGCCTTATTCTACTGAATGAAAAGCTGGCATATCAAATGGACGTGAGCATAATACCTGCATTTATTACCCTGAAGCCCTGAATAATGATCCCAAATTGCACTAAGCCTTGAAGGAACTCAAGCAGATAATTATTACCCTTCATGCATGCTGTGTGACAACTCTTCTCAAGTACAGAGTATAAGACAAGGTTGTTCCTTCAGAACATGACAGGTTGATATCCACTGTGGTGACACCATCCTTCTTCCATTGTTTTACAAATGGATTCATAGCTGGCCACTATCCTTTTCCTGACAGCGAAGAGCTGAGTCAGTCTATGGCTCACAGAGGAGCAATACAGAGCGTGAATAATCCAGGTCCATGAACTTACATGGTCTGCATTCATAGCGATGATAATCTAATCAAGCTATCATCCATCCGTGACCCCTAAAGTATGCAATGCAGGATTTCTGACTAGATTTTTATCACAAACAACCACAGATGTTGAATTCTTCATCAGCATTAGAGACTTGCTCGAACCTGCCGAGCTCAGATGAAAGCAGGACTTTGTGGAGTCAAAAGGAGTCTGCTGTCTTAATTAACCGCTTCAGCCCAACCTATCAGCGGCATCATTGACTCATATCTGAGGCAAAGATTTATATTTAGAATGAGCAATTAGTCGGTTTATCCATCTGCCATTAAAAGCCTAATGGACAGTATTCACTGTGTGGCTGAGAAAAAAAAATCAAACTCTACCACCTTTAATGATGCTGTTTACAAGAGGGTGGGGTGGTTGTGGATTAGATGGTAGGCAGGGTCATCTACCAGTTAAACGGTTGGTGGTTTGATCCCTGACTTGTCTAACTTGGGCAAAGTACTGAAGCCACAGCTGCCCCCGATGTGTGTCGAGGAGGTGTGAGTGTGAAAATCAAAGAGTGCTGAGTACGGTGGCCCTTAGGGATCGACTCCAACTTTAGAAAACACCAGCGAATGAAAGAAAAATGCTGCAAAAGCACACAAATAATAAAGGAAGTGATTGTGGAGGAAATGTGATGCAAAGCATCGCACTGAGACGTGCTTAAAAGAAACAGAGGACTCTTCTGTGTTGTGAGGGAGAAAAAGATGAAGGTTATATCTGTTCTGATCACATGATAATATTGTGGATGTATCCTTGTTATTATTAGTTTTCCATTATTGTCTTCCCAAAGCTCACGTATCTTCTGTTGTGAGCTTTTCATTCACACTCTTCTGCTCATCCAAGTCAGGGTCGCGGGGGAGGGGCTGGAGCCTATGCCAGCTACCATAGGGCAAGAGACGGGTACAGCCTTGACAGGTCTCCAGTCTGTCGCAGGGCAACTGGCTTCTTTGTGTTTTTATTCAACTTCAATTGTGTTTTGTGTGCTTTTGAAGTATTTTTCTATTTGCTGGTATTTTTTTAAGTTGCAGTGCGTTTGACCTCTCAAGGCCACCGTACCTTAGGCACAGAAAAAACAGCTGCAGGAATGTGTGTGTGATTAGGTGACTGAGGCTTATGACTGAAAGCATTAATTTACCTTAAAATTACAAATATCTATCTCAATCTTAAAATGTGATAGAGCTCACTCTTTTTCTTTCCTTATTAACGCGGACTTCATTTAGCACTTTTGTTACAGTGAATTCTGTAAGGATTCACAGAAACAAGCTCAAACACTGCAAACAGTCTTTGGCAAAAAAGAAAAAAGAGCTTAACAGATTATTTTATCTGCTACAAGTGATGTCAAAACGGTCAAAGACTTCTCTTTGCTGGTTAACAATATATACTTATGTATTTATCAATGTTAAACTGCGTTACACTGTACAACTGGCTGTTCACACGGTCTACTGTGCTGCAGACTCTGCCAACAGAAAACCTCGGGGCTTAACCTTGCTGGAACTATTTTCTATTCTCTTCTGTTTTTGTACATTGATTGGTCCGTATACCTGAGTTATATATACCGAAACCTTTTTTTCATTTCTTATAATTATCGAGACAAGTGGTAGCAATCTGTAAGGGTTTCACTGCCCGTGGAGCACTTATTCCAATACAAAGTTTTTTCCACTCCCACGCTGTCCTGTTTGCTTTAAGAAAATGACAAGAAGATTAAATACCAGGTGGAGCAGTCATATGAGTAATAACAGAAAGTCTGCATCAGCTGTATTCTCTTACTGCAAGCTTTTTAATTTCTCATATGTCATGTTAGGTGTGACAGCATTAGTTTAATCCAGGTTTCTTTCATACAAAATGTAGCAAGAGGACTCTTTTTATCATTTCGCTAGAACGCAATAAAGACAATGCCCCACTCTTTTTCACGTTCATTGACATGTACAGCAGCAAACACTGAGAAACCTGCTGAGCTCCTGATACAGGGTGAATCCACCAGTGTTTTCACACTTATTTTCAAACCGTGGAAGCCTGAATGTGCGCCTGATGTTACAATACCAACATAACCTGGCACCAGTCCATGCTTTGGATTATTACTGAGTAGGTCTGGTATGTGCTGCGTGAGACTTCACAGTTTAGTGATGTCACTGGGGAAGTATATCCTCTTTTGTATGTTTTGCCTTTCACTTCGGCACTCTCCTCTGCTGTATGACATGTTCCCGAGTGTGCAGAATAGAAAAGTGGCAATGAAAACAGTTTTTAGAGACAGAAAGGCGGGTAAACACATTACGCGCAGCTACAGGAGACCAAATTTATTTTGCCAACGATGCCCGTGAAGGACCCTTCAGGACTAGATGGATAAGCCTGTTAGGAACGCTCTCTAAAAGGTAATAAGTAAGGAAGACTAGGTAATAAATGGTTTTTTTGCTTGCGTTCGGTCTCGGGGGATATTGTCTCAATGAATTAATATTGAAGCGGGGACTCAGGCCAGAGTTTATACCCATAAAAATCTGCAAATTATGGTCATGGTGACGAGCCACTCCATCAGCAGGGATGTTAATAATGTACAATATGCTGCTGCTAGGTTAAAGTAAATGATTATTACACCAAGGAAATATGTGAGCTAAAGTAAAGGCCCTCCACATCTCATCAGACCATAACATGTCAAACAGACATTAGCCATAGTGATTGAAAGAAGAAAAATCTCCTAAATAAAAATATTATGTGTGGTGGCAAATACTGAAATCTACCACTCTGCATTATTCTCTGTCCTCTCTTTTATTCTGTCTTGCACACAGACACCCTTTTAGCCTTGCAGAAACCTTTGATACTCCAAATTGCTTTTTTTCCTCAATACTTTTTGAACATAGACGGAAAGTGAATTGAAAGAGCTCAGGAGGGGGAAGGAGAGAGAGAAAAACGGCTACACTTCAAAATCTATTAACAAGCAGGTGGAATGGCAGTTAGTCTGACAGAGCCTTCTGAAATGCATGCATACTGTTTCAGTAACAATTACCTCCAATAAGCTTCAAAGTTTTTCATTTATTTGAACAAACGCTGAACACGGGAGAGGATTCGGCTTTGGAGCTCAGCCTGGCTGACAGAGATACATGAGGAAAAATAAAGTACTTGGCAGCATTCTCTGCTGGAGATGTAGGAAATTTGGCAGTAGCACTTTGTTTGTGTAACTCTCACCATTTGGACGGACTTCAGTCCAGCTTTTTTACTTGAGCTCCAGAAATCTATCTCAATATGACAAAAAAAATAAGAGATGGAAAATGTTTTTTTTCTTCTTCACACGGTTAAGATCCTCTCTAATAAATGATCAGAGACAAGGAGCAAATAAGTATCCTGACTGATGGAATTGCTGTGGTTCAAAGGGTTAGACCCATTACAACTCAATATGCGTGGCTGTTTTTTTCTAAAAGAAGAAGAAGAAACAGCCACTATCCCTCACGCTAAACTCAGATTCACCTATAGGCAGATGGAAATCTCGGACACGTGCATTCTTTGGGGTCTGGCACGTCTTCACACACTTCGTGGGATTCGTGTTTGAACATGATCGCCGGGCAATGTGCTGTCACATCACTTTATAATCAGCCTGACGTCTGCACAAGACGAGAATCGCTTGGCGAGATGCGATTTTCAGTTTTCAATTTTTTTTTGCAGCGCTACAAAAGAATCCAAGCTCAGAGGCGCAAAAGCACAAGACGCTTTGGGGTGCACTTGGATTCATTGTTGAATGAAAATAAAAGTTGTGATCGTGAAATTAAATAAATAAATAAATAAAGCGAAGACGCTTGATATGATTCGACACTCACTTTCACGGGAGCAACATGCTTTCAGTTTTGGAGAGCTTCAAATAATCCACAGCAGCTCGCAACCAAAGTGTCGCCTCGAAGCGAAGGCGCAGTTTTCACACAAATGGATGAATCGCATTCTGACGGGTTCTTTATCAAAATCAGCCTTATCGCACAAAAAGCCTTCGTTTCTCAGCCTGCGTGACCCTACCTGCCATCGAAGTCTGCACTTGCTCCAAAGCTGCAGCTGCACAGCAACATCAACTTTATCCATAATTCCATGATTTCGGGAGTTACGCGCCCACGCTGTTTCCAATTCTCCGTAAATCCAGAATCACCGGGTAGGAAACTGTGGAGTAAACAGCGACACAACAACAACAAACACACAGTTTGTTTCCTCCTGGAGGTGCGCGGGCAGGAGAGGTCTGACGGCGTCCTTCAGACTGTTCATCTGAGATATTCAGGAGGAGAGAAGGCAGCCCGATGCCTGGAAGCAGAGTGACTCCGATGAGTGTGCGCGCGCGCGCGCGTGTGGAGCGGGACGCACTCTGCCGGGAAGAGCGCGCACAGCCGCCCCTTACCCACCCACCCCCCTCTCTCTTCTTTCCTCCCCTCACAAGTTCAGGCAGCGGGCTCTCAACCAACAGCACCCACTGCAGTCTGACCTTCGCTCGCTGCAGTCTCAACAGAGCCGTGGTGTGCAGCCACTCAGTTGCGGAACCTTAACGAGAAAGAAGAGGCTCCACGTGTGGCTCCGTTACACGCTGTGGAAAATGCCTTAATGAACCTGCTGAGACACGCAGGTGTATTGTTGGCCACCCAGGTAGATGTTGATCACGCAGCAAAGACAAAGCAGTGAAAATTACTGAGGGTATAAAAAGAAAGCTGCGCAAAATAGAAAATCAGTGGTTTGTTAAAGTTTGAGGCGCACGCGCACTCAACAGGTGGAAATACTTATTTAAAAAATCAACCTTAATATGTATAATTTTTGCAAACAAACACAAGTGGATGCATTTAATCAAAATCGCTTACAACTACCGACTGTTTCTGTTTTCTCAACAAGCCAAAAAGCTTTTCTGAACGACACTGCGCATGCGTAATTGCTGTCTTTCTATTCTTTCACACGAGGATCCTGTTAGACCTCATCACCTGTCTGATTCCTAAGCGGCACTCCACATTCAAAATCTCCTGAACTGCGCTTCCTGTTTGGGTGCAGAATGATGAAGGCTGCCTCATTTCCTGATGTGACAGCTTTCTGTCAGTGAACCAACCAGAGGGAGTGCCCGGTTGGCCTAACAGCCTTCTGGAGCACGCGATGAATGACGGGAAGGTTCATGTGATTACTGCTAGTAGTTCAGAGTCTCTTTTGATTCATGCAACTCTTCGCCTTCACTGACTGAGTAATGAATCTGTGGTGGCACCCAGGTCTGACCTCAGCTGGTCGCAGAAAGGCTGGTGTCCCGGTTTGTGTATAATTAGACTATCAATCACAGTATTGACCTGACTGTAAGAACGTGATTCCTTGTGTTATCATTGCATTTAAATATGAGCAATGGCTTATGCCGATCGCAAGGGCCACGTCTCATTACCGGTAATATTCATATGTTGTGGAAAACTGAGACACTGTGTGGATTTTAAAGGGTCACTTACGCAGCGCATCTGTGTTTGTTAGCAGGAGTATACTCAGGATGTGTGGGGTTATTTTTAATGAACATTTTACCAGATGTGGTGCTCAGCCAAACTTAGAAGTTACGTGTTGAGTTCCATGACTGTGCAAAGGTCTTAGGCCACCCCTCATTTCTTTATATTTTGCTTCCAAGAGGCCAGAGTGTCTTGTAATATTTTGAAGTGATCTTATAACAGCTCTCCAGGCTTTCTTTCAATGTTTATCTTCAGACATCTCAGTCCAGTCCTTGTACTTGACAACTTTCAGAGAAATGTTTTTGTTTTTACTTGTTTTTTTAGTTGTTTAACGCTGACTTATTAATCATCCACACATTAAACAAGGATGTATCTGATCCATTTAAAGTTCATTGAACCCTCATCAGAAATAGTCTCAGTGGAAAGGTGGCTGCCAAGAAGTCATTCTTTAGGAAGGGAAACGGGAAGAAAAGGCTGAAGTATGCCAAATTACACAAGAACTGGACTAAAAATCAGTGACAACAGGATTTATGGAGTGATGGATCCAAATTTGAAATTTATGGCTCAAATCAGTATCAATATGTATGCAGGAGGTCAGGAGAGGTACAACAGTGAGTGTCTGCAGGCATCTGTAAAACACAACGGCGGCTCCACCATGGTCTGGAGCTGCGAGATGCTGTCAAAACCGATGGAATTATGAACACGTGGGAACGGTCAAATTTTGATCCACCACGAACACCATCTGGAAAGCGTCTCATTGACGAGAGCTTCATTTTTAAGCATGATAATGATCCCAAACACACCATCAAAGCAGTAAAAGTATACCTGGATAGAAAATAAACAAACAATGAAACATGGTCAGTTATAAATTGGCCTCCCCAGAGCCCAGACCTCGACTGAATCACTCTGGGATCATCTTGACAGAAATCAGAACAAAAAGGCAGCCAACATCCAATAACAGCTTTGAATGTCTTTCAAGAAGCCAGGAGAACTATTCCTGAAGTCCCTGCCCCATTTCCCACTTTCCTAGCAAAACATAAAGAAATGAGAGTTGACTCAATACTTTTGCACAGTATTGTAGCTCCAGATTTGGATCTAAGACGCAGTTGTTCATTTCAAGAGGAATGAATCTCCAACTATAACAGCGGTCCCCAACCTTTTTTGTGCCACGGACCGGTTTATGTCCGACAATATTTTCACGGACCAGCCTTTAATAAAACCAGTACCGGTACCAAAAAACAAAGATTTATTCATAGCACACGGGAAAAGACCCAGGGAAACATAATGTTAAAAACAGATAAAAACCCTGAGAACCATCAGTTTCACTCTCGAGCCTCCACTCTCGCAGCCCGGTACCAAACGACTAACGGAGCAGTACCGGTCCATGGCCCGGGGGTTGGGGACCACTGCACTATATGGACAACATGCTACGAATGGTGCAAACCAAGCAGGACACTTCACAGCAATCAGCATCCTTTAAAGTAAAGATTTACCTAATTTCGTTGTTTGTTTAAAATCACTGAACAAAAAAAAAACAAACCTCTAGGTGTCGACATATTCCAGAAATTATATTAAAGCGACCGATTAATCTTAATTTACTGCAACTGTCAGGGGTATCTGAACACCCCCCCCCCAAAAGAAAAAAGAAGACATCTATCTGTGTGATTAGGGTGAACTCGGTCTTTAAACAAGCTCCTGGGGAGAGTGAGTCATTGTTGCATTTTAAACAGGCTGTGCCACGACAGATACAAAGTAGAAAATAAATGCTGAACCTGAAAGCAAGCATGGAAATCCTAGGTGACAATGTGACAAGTAGCACGCGAAGCACAAGAGAATACATTACAGGATTATTAGGGTGTGCAAAATAACAGCAGCTGAGCCCTACCAGGCGACCAAAAAGGAAATACTATACATAATTAACTGCCAGTACTGTGGACACCAATAATTAAACTCAGTGCTGTTTATTAGAAAATTATGCAAGTCAACCGAAAAACACATTTTATAGTTCACACAGGTAAAATATAAAAAAGAGAGAGTGAGATATTTAAGATCACAGAGGACGTAGGAAAAATCCCTTTGTACCTTTCACATGGACTCGTTATGAGTGGCTGCTGTGTTAACCCAAGACACATAAACAAGGTCAGTGTTTGTCAAAGAGGATAATTGACACCAACAGAGAGTGTACCCAAATATGGAGCAGTGAGCTGTTGTGGGCAACCAGCCACAAACTCTGCAGCATAATGAAATGGAAAACTGTTGGCAAAAACGCAAGAAATGAGCAGAATTTTTAATTAACTAATAAGGTGAAGTTAGCAAAACAACTCCAGCTCCATCATTTCCTGGAAGAGGATTTTGCCCCCCCCCAAAAAAAAAAAAATAAAATAAAAATCATCACCCAATGGTTAAAATTCAGATCCCAATTTAAGTATAAAATTATGCTCTAAATCTCATTATGAGCAACTACATAAAGAAAACAGATTAAATAGCAATAAACTATGCATACAGCGTCTGTGTAGTCACAGGTTATTGTACATTGGAGAAACTCGCATGTAGTTGACTTTTGTATCGAGGTCAGCCCTCTAATTACGCAAATAAAAAATGCATTAAGCTAAATATGTGAGCGACTCTGCAATGCATTCGCAGAAAGGTTTCAGGAGGTGAATCGTTAGAAAAGAACATCTCTGCATTTAGATGAAAATGAGCCAATAACAGCTCATCTGTTTTATCTAAGCAAAGAATCCACTGTTACTGTTCTGATGTTTACTCTAAGCCAACTGCCTTCACCCTCTGCATTCTCCTTCCGATGCACACTTTAAGTAGTGCCACTGTTCCCCTCTTTTGTATGAATTTCTGTAATGTGCACTTGCCACAAGCATGAACAGGGAGTAGACTTCTGAAATAATTCCGATCCTCGGAAGGAGCTGTGTCTGTGGCCATTTACCTCGGGATAGATTGACTCTGCTGACTGAATTCAGATGAGCCTGACGTCTGCGAGGCCTGCATCTCTCTCACATCTATCCCTTCAGTGGGAGTGGGAAAAACTGGCTCCTTGGCTACCTCCCCAGATTTCTCAAGCAGCTGCATCAGACTGTCAAAGGTGACAACACTGGATTTTTTTTCGTCTTTTTTTCCCAGAGAAACACACGAATAGTTTCAGATGCAAGACTGAGAGCTTAAGGTGCCTCACTGTGACTACAGTAACCGGGACTGGAAATACGGAGCACGCTGTGTGATTTCCAGTTATGAGGCACTGAACACCGTGCGTCTAATCAAGCGCGCTGACCTTTTCACCAGCTTCATAAAATATTCATTACTGCTGAAAGTATTCCAGAATGCATACCATACTCGCATTGCTTTTTTATGAGGAATAATCAGGTTCCTCTGTAGAACCATGAAAAATGCGACACTGTATATTACCCGATGTGACTCGAGTTTAAATCCACCTCTGATTGTCTCTCGCAAGAAAAAAGAAAACGACAGAAGAAACGTAGGTGAGATGACAGCGAGGCGATTCCTCACCTCGTCTTTAAATGCACACGAGCTGTTAGCACTGAATTTCTTGTGTTAATCAGAAGTAGCTGACTACTGAGCGCTATCCCAGAAGGCTGTATACAGACTATTTGCGAAAACAGCATGAGGACGTATGTCATACTTCATTCACAATATGGGTGTGCCAAGTCCTGCTGCGTCTGTGTGCGCTGACAGCTTGAGTCACGCAGTTTAGGCAAAGACAAAAACATAGCATTGCAGTTGGGGAGAAGCTTGAGCAGATGATCAACTAAAGTGTGTAACTCCTGGGAATGGCATGGTTGCTTTAACGTTTAGCCTGAAAGAAACTTTAAAAGATGGTAAATGGCCTGTATTTGTATAGCGCTTTAGCCTAAGGACCCCAAAGCGCTTTACATATCCAGTCATCCACCCATTCACACACTGGTGATGGCAAGCTACATTGTAGCCACAGCCACCCTGGGGCGCACTGACAGAGCTGAGGCTGCCGAACACTGGCGGCACCAGGCCCTCTGACCACCACCAGTAGGCAACGGGT